AATATAATTCCTATTATTTCGTTATTTTAATTTTATTATTAAACTTAATATTTTCATATAATGTAACCTTATTAAAAATATAATTTTAAAAGATATTGTAAGCTCATTTTAAAAACTTCAACAATATATTAACAATGGCAGATAGGAATTAATATGACAGTTTGAATGTTTATAAAAAGTTTGGTAACTAAAAATCGTTACAACACCGCTTGGCAACATTTCAAAAACCGTATCTGACATATCTGATTTCTTTGATAGATTCTATAAATTTCGCCGCCCTTGCATGACAAGGGTTGGAATTCCTCTGATTTAAGTGCCTACACCGTTGGTTTAACTTGACATAATAGGACAAAAAGGATATTGATAAACTTTGTAAACGACCGTTGTTTTATTGCAATTCTTAAAGTAAAATTAATTTATTTGCGACTAAATAGACAAGACGCCAGAGTAGAAAATTGCTGTCCGTGCAATGGAAGAGGTGTACAAGTTCAGTCAAAACGTAATAATTCTTATTTCAATGAACGTTGTTGTGACACCGAACCTGTTTAAGTGGTACGAGATATCTGTCGTTACACTTATGTCTGATTTCACAGCTAATGTGCGCTATTAAGTAATTTACATGCGATGCAATGAACTCGGCGTGGGAACCAGACAAAGCGAATAATGTTCCATCGCTAACAACACTGGGAATTATTAAAATGGTAAAAATTTGATTTTAATTTTAGGGTTGTTGGGCCATATGAGACAATCAAGAAACATGTTTTTTTATCAAAGATCCTCTAAAAATAATTTATTATAGTCCAAATTTTAATTTTCACTAGTTTTTTAATGCACCTGTATAACTTATGGCTAAAATCTATCGAAAACTTTCGATCACTCCTAAACCCGCGACTAAAGTACCTTTCGACGAAGCTAACGTTCTTGGGTATTTTAAAATAGGGAGTAGAAAAACGCATTTTATCACAAAGTCTCAGAATATAGAAAGAATAGGTTTATACCAAAGAAATTAATTAATACTTAACTTAAGATGCGACTTTAGTTAAACCATATTGAACGACTTCTATGTCTGTTGCTTGTTAAAATGTTCAATGTTTGTTGCATTTATTATTATTATTATTATTATTATTACTGTTATTATTATTATTATTATTATTATTATTATTATTATTATTATTATTCATAGAAATTTTGTAGGATTTAAATGATTGCTAGAACATACGTGGATGATAGCTTATTTTCACCCGATATCGCCATTACCCTTTATGTTTTCAGGAAAACTGATAGATTTACTAAAAAAGCGAAGTTAATTAAGTTTACACTTATTTTAAAATAATTTAAAAAACTATTGATGCGATTAACATTTGACCCTAATTGCCAATTACCACTGGGGCGAACAAAGAAACAGCATCGATTTTAAAATAATATTAATTGCTTAAACAGCTTCTGCTTTGAAAAAAAATTTGTTTACACAGTTTTAATTTGTATAAAATAACTTCGCTAATATTGCTATCATATTCAATAAATTCACAATCACAATAAAAGATTATCGTTTTGCGAAAGGTAAGCTGTACCGGTTGACAAGCATATAATTAGTACTGTGTCTCCAACAATGTTTTAATAACGTCGGGGTAATTTCCGTCGACACGTATCATTTGGGACCGAAGCAGACTTTTTAACTACGTATATTTAACCACAAGGATAAACGGTATATAAACATGTTCTAAGGCTGGATATTATAAATTTGCTTCTGGGCAAGCTGTACCATATTATGCCATTAAAAACAGGTTTAAATTTAGTGGTACTTTTTGTAGATATATCCTCGCTTTGTTAGGGTCTCAGGTTTCCATGTTGATTTTTTTCTTCAAAAGATTCTAATGAATGGGGCTGTGCGCGGCGTTAAAGTGGGCTTTGACACAGGGCCTATCTCTTTCATGCATTAACCTTGAATTTTGGAACTGTGTTGAGGGCGGTGGGGTCAAGGATATAGCCATAACGATGTGAAAATTTTGAAATAGCGTGGTTAAAAATTTTTCGTCAAATAATTTCCGTCGTACTATGATTAAACACCGTGGTATAAATAAAAAAACATACACAACAGTAATTAAGTAACATTTTCTGCAAATAGAAGGAATTTGGAATAAATAGTAAATGTATTATTCGTTAAAATTGGAAACCTCAAAAATGATAATGAAAAGTTTATTTATATTGAAATGGAAAACATGAATTAGTTACCATACTATCAAGATTTTACACTGTAAGTTGTGACATTATCTGCGAATTTTAAGAATGAAAATTAATCACTACTGTTCACTAAACGTTCTGAAATGTGTTTTGCGTAGTAGTAATAGAAAGAATTTTGTAGTACCAAAATTTCATTTACTAATTTACTCATCGTAGAAGAAATAATAACTCAATAGAACCCAGAACAATTGCTACAAAAAATACGCTTTGTTAACCAAAGAAGGAAGTTTGTGAATTAGCTTGGGGATTAAAACAGAAATCGCCATTATTTGTGGAATTGTGATATTACAAAATTAACAGAAGACAAAAGCGACAATCATTAATCTCTGTACACTTTACGCAAGTTAATTTGTTTTGGTTTTCATAACACGTCAACAGAGACCGATTTTTACATTTTTACCTTATTACATTTTACATTATACACACAAGTATTGATTTTAATAAAATTTCTCACTACGAATAACTTCAAATCTTTTGGGCAAAAATTACTTTACGCCCTTCAAAGTTCTCCGCTGAATCGAAAAAATGAATTTAATGCTGTTACTTTCGCGCTTTACTTTTTTAACTCACTCAAGTTTTGAAACAGACACCATTATGTATGTAATTGAGTTATCAAACAGAAATGGCCATGACGAAAAACAATATGAATAGCAAAATATTATCTGTGTCTTTTCATCTCGTAACAAAAGAAAATTCAAGGTAGCAGGCGAACATAAATTAATCAAACAAACGAAGAAGATCATAACGAACGCTAGTAAAAGCTCATTTATCACAATTAACTGGTTGAAAAAAACCACGATTCGTTCGAATCGGCTTGCCTCCCACTTGACTGGAACATCCATTAGTTTGATCTAGCGGACGTGCAATAGTACGAGTTCATTTGTTTTTTTGTTAATTACAAAACCGAAATAAATCATCCTACGTAACTGCTTAGCTAAGAGAGAACCGAAGCAGCATAGACTACATTTCTACCAACAAACGGCAGCCTGTTATTAATTGTAGAAACCTTGAGAATGGTCAGTATCATTCTGTGCATGACTGGCGTTATTTTTTTGGATTCTTGAGTTTGGCACCGCAACAGATTATTTCTAGGTACGTATAAAACGTAAACATCTTTGTCTTTGAAAGGTACAGTTAAAACATCTCATTTTTAACTGGGGATCATCTGAATTTTTCTTTTAGGTGGCTTATGTTTATTTGCATTTTGTATTTTCATTTACATTATAGTAAGAATATTATTTCAACTAGTTAACTTCCGTAATTTCAACATTTCTTCATTCTTCATTTGTAGGATTGACGTTGCACATATTAATCGATGACTGGAACGAAAAATGAGAACTGTAAATCTAAGATTGAATTTCTCTTTTTCGTTTTGAACGGGACTGTCCCTTTTATAGGTCACCTGTCCCGTTGTCCCCAAACAAAGCTCCGGGACGCGAAATTGTCCCGTTTTGTGAAACAGCGCGAAAATTCAATGATCAAACGAACTTACCTGGTAAGTGAAGTTCGATCGTAATTATATGTTACACCTCTTCGTAGAAATCAATATACGTAGTCCCCCTTCTAGTCGCTAGGTGGCACCACAGCTTTAAAGCAGAGCCAAAAAACTGTGGAATAACTTACCATGGACGGTATATTCGCCATCTATGGTCTTAACCTCATTCTATTTTAAAGCCCGTTTATAATAAATTTGCCAAAGGGCATTTTAGTACTGTTCAGAACAGTAAATTGGGCGGGAATGGGTGATTTCTACGAAGAGGTGTAACATATAATTACGATCGAACTTCACTTACCAGGTAAGTTCGTTTGATCATTGAATTATATGTTACACCTCTTCTATGAAATCAATATACGTAGACTTTCAAAGGCAACTCAGCAAATTTGTTATAAAACGATTTTATTCGGCTATATAAGGAAATCCAGAAAGTTTATGAAAGCCTCGAGTACAAATACAAAATAAATGGCTATCCGAGAAAACAAACCTTCTGAAAAATTCTATGTCCCAAATGTGGCATTAACAAAAAGGCCTGCACTTGCTGTACAAATAGGTCTATTATATAAAAGGGGAAAACATTTAGAGCATTCTCACCAATCTGCCGTTTTTCCAATCATATCAATTGAAACACCTTTACAAAACGCAGACGATGTTGAGGCATGTCGAGTTCTGTGAACAGTAAAAATAAAAGTGTAGACACCACTATCTTCTAAAGTTATCTTTATTCATCTACTTTTGTTGGGTATAGTTGCTGCCCTACAAGGCTTTTTAAATGTAATGAGTAAACGAGATTCACTGCCTCTTAAAGCACTGGCCCTCTCAATAATATATTTGAAACCACACAAAGATTTACATCTTCATATTTATGCAAAATTAAAAAACAGGTCGAGTCTTATTTATAGCTGAAATCTTAATTTGATTCGTTATTCTAATTTCTAATCCATCTGGAAATGATTTTATGTTGACCAATTCTATAAGAGAGAGCGTTTGGACTCTATGTACAATCGTTAACTTCAGTAGGAGAAACTAATTTAATTGTTTTAATGACAGTTAATTGCTTTAATGACAAGTCATTAGAACGTAACCCTTTTACAAAGTCAGGGACATAACTAGGGCCCCAAGTGCTGTTATATCTTGGTTTACTTGGCCTTAGATTATAAACACCTTAAAAAACCTAGTTAGATTTGCATTGTTAAATAAACCTGATCCAAAAATAAGGCCGTGCTGCACTGAAAGAACTCAATGAGCCATAGGACTTGCCTTGTCTAAAATGAATAGTAAGGAAATCCAATACAGCCTAGGTGAGAAGTAATAACACTCCACTCCCCTCCTTTCGTAGAAGCTCCACCAAAGTTTAAATGCATGCAGGTATTAAATGCCTCAAGGTAGCGCTCTGAACAGATGATAGAAAAATATCCAGCAAATCTTCTGGAATGCTTGCCTGACAAAATCCCTGCAGCCAGGGTAAGGGATTTCCACAAAGGGTGACCTCTCCTGTCAAAAGAAGAAGGTAATTTGTCTGGAATTAGAAACAATAAATAACTACAACGCCTCCCATGAAAAAAAAGCAAACCAATGCTGGCTGTGCCCGTAAGGGATTACTGCGATCCCTGTAGCTCAATCAGCCTTGATTTTTCGTAAAACAAGTGGCAACAAGCAAAACGGGGGGAAAACATAGAAGAAACTGTCGCTCCAAAAAACAGTAAACGAGTCTTCATTAGATGCCTCCGGATCTGGAAATTAGGAAATAAACTTTCCGCATTTCTTACTTAGGCGAGAAGCAAACAGTTCGATTTATGGGAATCCAAATTTGCTTGTTATTTTAGCAAAAGCATTGTCCGAAAGGTACCATTCACCATCAAAATTCAAATTCGTGGGTTCCTTATGCGCTTCAAAATTATCGGAAGATCGAATGTAAGATGCTTTAACCCATAACCTCCTTTCTTCACACCAACCCCAAGGCGCCTCGAAATTTCGTTTAAAACAGGAAATTTTACTCACCCTATTCTATTTACATACAAAATAGCAGTTGTGTTATCAATCCTCAAAAGTGTCTCGCAGTTAGTCAAATACGAGGCGAAGCATTAGAGACCAAATGAGGCCGCAGTTAATTCTAGTGCATTAATATGAAACTGAGCTTCCCTAGGACTCCAAAGTTCTCTGGCACAATTCCCCAACCCAAAGGAGTACCATCTGAGAAAATCTCAAGTTTGTAACATTGCTGCCTTACAGGGCATTCAGGATTCTGTAAACTTTTTAGCCATCACATAAAATCCCTCCGTAAATTACAAGGAATTATCATCCAAATATCATAATTATCGACAGAGTCTTGAAGGGCTAGATATTTGATTCTCTCAAAAATTCTTAGTATATACCCAACTGTAACAAACTGCTGGGCAAACTGAAAACTAGCACAGCACAAAGCTCGGCAAAGACTCTTATTTCGCAACGGTTCAAATTGCAAAACTTACTTACTCATCAGAAAAAACAAGTGGTGGGATTCAAAAAAACAAAACCTAAAAATTTACGGGATTTCGAAGGATGTAAAACATTCTTATAATTAATAACATAACCCAACCTAATCAGTGTGTTGCAAGTTACTGGAACATTTTTTAAGGATAGCTAACTATCACCAAATAGTAAAGTTATCTAAATAAACTATTGAGGGAAAAGCCTTGGCAGGGAGATAAGAAACCACAGATTTCATTAATTCTGTAAAGGCCCACGGGGCGGTGCATAAACCAAAGGGTAACACGTTAAACTGATAACAGAGAGCATCAAAATAAAATCTTAGAAAATTCTTTTGATTTTCAATTATTGGGACTAGAAAGTAAGCTTCTTTCAAGTCCAGAGTGGTCATAAAGGACTTCCTTGTGAAGAGTGTTTCTACTAATTTTCTGTCTTCCAGTTTAAAATGATAAGTGTCAATAAAAGCATTCAGTTTCTTTAAATTTAAAACTAATCAAACCGAACCATCCAATTTTGAAACCAAAAAGATCTGTAAAATAAATTGATTCTTACAAGGTTCGCAAACTGCAATTGCACTTATCTCTAACAGGTGTTTGACCACATTACAAATTGAATCTTTTTCTTGTTGGGACCAAACAGGATCTGTCGTAATCAAGTCCTGTATAACTGGCCTCGCAAATGGAATTTTATATCCATCTAACCAAGGTAGAATCTGTGCATCTTGAGTTCTAGAGTTCCAAATGTTCCGAAACTCGTGCAATCTTTCAACAAAAGTACTTACTATTTTTTCCTGGGGACACAACTCCACCCCCTTTCCTCTCGAACCTTCCTGTATTCCCTCTTTTGAGGGTACAATGACTTTCACCCACTTCAGCCTTGCAACTTCCGGGAACGAAGTGGGACGGTCGAGTTTAAATTTGTATGCTATAAAAGCCTTGTTCCGGATGCACCTGACTTTAACTCGGCCACTAATCTGCAGCTAATCTGATTGATTTGAGCCTATCAGCCAAATCTTCTCCATATAAACAAGAGTGCAAAGAAGCATCAACGAGCACTTCCTTCATACATGCAGCGAAAGGCTTAACGCGGCTGAACTTCTATATACTGAACCTAAATGGTGTATTTTGCTTAAAACAAATATTGCATTACTCAACATTTCGATGAGAAGTAAGTACTACTCATCCTTAACCGGTTTCAAAAGCAAGGTCAAGAGCGTCCTACCAACCACCATCAAAGCACCCCTTGTTGCAGTCAGTCTCTCATCCCTTTTCTTTCCACCTTTGTTGATGGCAGATTTCATCTGCACATTCAATTTAGGAGAGTTATTGAGCGGCAATTCTTCGGCACAGGATATCAACGCAAAAGGTCACTGAGACAATCTTCGGACACACCGGATTTCAAAAAGGTATTAATCTGACTTGCCAAAATGTCATGACACATCAAACTTTGTGTTGGGACTATCGACCCCATAGCTTAAAGGCCATTTTGCTTTAAATCCGTCTCAAGGGGCTCAACAATGACATCAGAATTAATTGAAGGGCCTAAAAAATATACTTACGATGGAGTAAATGCATTCCAACAGCCATAAAAAATTGTTCATTATGTCCCAGTATCCCGGGCGCCTCATCCATAGCCGGACGAGCCAGAAAACTCTATTTTTTCGATGTCGAAAAAATATAAAACCATATGTATGGCCGACCCCCTCACAAAAGGATTGCTTCCAATTGTGAAACACTTACATACGACTGCTGTCGTATAAGTGGGAAATATGGGGGGTCTTTCGAGTTCTGGGGATTCCGATCGGAACCCGGACGATGAAGAAATCGTCTCCCAATTGTAAGAAAATCTCGTTGATGGGAACCACGCCACTAGCGATTATGTAATCGCGGATGGAAAGATTTAATCTTTCGTCGTAGGTAGGTTCTTTCTTCATCCGATAAGGAATAACGTAAATCTCACTTGTACTTCTCCATTTAACTTCCAAAAACGCTGAAAAAAGCTGAAAACACCGACGCCGAATAAAAATGAACATGTGCCACCAAAGCACAAAAAGAGGAATGAGGTTAAGACCATAGATGGCGAATATACCGTCCATGGTAAGTTATTCCACAGTTTTTTGGCTCTGCTTTAAAGCTGTGGTGCCACCTAGCGACTAGAAGGGGGACTACGTATATTGATTTCATAGAAGAGGTGTAACATATAATTTACATCATGTAGCTCACGAAACACGCGCGGGCGGGATTCACAGACGATTCGCATCACTGTCAATCGGTGATTCCCCCCACCCGCCCGCGCACGCTGTTCGTTACTGTTTATTAGGCTATTCCCGGGCACGCACTCAGACTTCTCGTTATTGTTTTGTTTTTACGTAACGTTTATGAAGTAGTTTAGTGATAAACTGCTATATAATTATTTTTTTATATTGTTTTGGATGTTTGCCTATAGTTATGCCGAAACGCAAGTGTTCATTTAATGTCAACTTACAAGCAAAATACCCTTTTATTAAGCAAACTAATACTCCTTCAGATGTCAGATGCGAAAAGTGTCGCACAGAGTTTAGTGTTTCCCATAGTGGTGCTGGTGATATTGAACAGCATTTGAAGTCAGAAAAACATAAAAATGCCGATCGTGCCGCTGCTTCCAGTTCTTCAATGTTAAACTTTATCAAGAACCCAAACGCGCCAACTTCAAAGGATTTGGATATTGCTGCTGCAGAAGGCGTCAGTTTTCGTTCCAAATTCACATGCGCGCGTACAAAAACCGAAACTATTGTGGTAAATGTTTTAGGGCGTTCAGCGATCGACAGTTTAAAAGATGATCTTAATAAGTCCAATTGTATAACAATTTTAAACGACGCTTCAAACCACGGTAACAAAAAAATTTATCATTTCGTAGTGCGCTTTTTTCAACCTTATGAAGGTGTGCAAGTAAAAATTTTAGACATCCAAGAACAACCAGGTGAAACTTCTGACTTCATTGTAGATTATTTACATCAAGTATTAATAGATAATAATTTGACAAAAAAAGTCGTGGCATTTTGTGGTGACAATGCTAATGTCAATTTTGAAGGTGTAGCTAGGCAAGGAACTAACAATGTATTAGCCAAGTTACAATCATCTCTGAAAAAAACGTTGATAGGTATTGGATGTGGAGCTCATATAATTCACAATGCAATAAAATCCGCTGCAGATGATCTACCTTTAGACTACAAAAGCATTATTGTCAAAATATATTCATTTTTTTATATTTACACGGTGCGAGTGGAAGCTCTCAAGGAGTTTTGCGCTGAAGCTGAAATAGAACATCACCAAATGCTTGGCTACAGTAAAACCAGGTTGCTTGCGCTTATGCCTGCTTTGGAGAGTTTTAAAAATGTTCCAACCGTTAAAAGACTATTTTTTGAGCATTGAAAAATGTCCCAAATTGTTGAAAAACTTTTTTGAAGATCCCACGTCAGAATTATGGCTTAATTTTTTACACGCTCAGTCAGCAAGTTTTCATCAAGCTGTATTGAAGGTCGAGGGTCAGACTGTATCGGCAATTGATGCGCCAAAAGAAATCAATCAACTCAAAGACAATTTGGCACAGAAACAGATGAACCAGTTTCTTCCATTTACTATTCGTAGTTGTGAAACTAAAAGATAATGCCACTAATATTAATGAAGACTTGGTTAAACATGAAAATTTTTGTATTTTAATTGAATACATTTTATGTCGACCTGGAACAAATGCTCCAGTAGAAAGAGTCTTTCCTCTCATGAACAAACTGTGGACATCCGAAAAAAATCATTTACAGGTTCCAGTGTTGAAAGCGATGTTGAATACTAAGGTTAATGTAAAAAAAACGTGCCAAGAATTTTATTCTTATTTAATGTCATCGCAAACTTTATTAAAGCAAATTTGTTCCTCTGAAAAGTATAAAAACAATTTAAAAAAATGCGTTGCATATATTTTAATAATTATTGACAGATCAAAGTTCCTTGGTTAGTAAAGCTGGTGATTGATTTTAATTTTTCACTACTTATTATTTTTTTAATTACTTAATTAATATGAAAATAATTATAGTGTATAATTCCATTAAGTAACACTTATTCTAAATAAAGAAAATTAAACAGTTGTGTTTATTTTCTTTGTTAGCCTGAAGGCTAAATGTAAAGGTCTGGCGGGAAATTTAAATTTTAAACAGTTTTTAAATCTCGATTTAGAGTAACGTAAATAAATATTTTTTATTGTCGCGAAATCGAAAACCCCTTCCAAGTTTTGCCTAATTTGGCTACAATTAAAAAAAATACTGTTTAAAATTTCAATTTCCCGCCAGACGTTTAACCTGAAGCTTAATTTTATTTGGCCCGTTTTGAGTTAAAAAATAAATGGTCACTTTAGTTATACCTGACCTTCCACTGCAATCAGTTGGTCCATTTCAGACAACTCCCAATTTTCTCTCCCCCTATCAAGTTCAAACATGGTGCTAGGGCATTCAGGTTTTCAGAATCGAGGATGTTAGATCCTAGTTTTGAGATTCTTTTCACCACTAAGCAGGGATACTGTTGTGCATATCCGGAACCTATGGCATTTTAAGGTTAGTTCATTTCGGCATTCTATCATCGATAGGGCACCTCGGTAGTTTCTTTCTATCTTGGAAGAACATTGACGTGATTTTAACACCTGCAATACTGCAGCATACTTTCGTGGAGCTAGACAATAACATACACTTCCTCCTCGAATATGATGTCGTATGTATATGGATTTAGATGTCCGCCATAGTCCCAACTGCAGTACAAACTTATTTAATTTTATTTTATTTTATAGAATCGAGACATCGAAGAGTATCGTCAAAGTTTGAGGCAAAATACAATATCATTAACGCACAACAGCGAGAAGAAATTTAACTAAATTGGTTTCAATTCAATTAAAATTATGAGATCTACAATTAATTTTGTAAAATAGTAAAATTTAAATGGTTCGTTAGTGTAAGGCCTATTGGTCAGATGGCCCACAAACAATCATTTAAAATTTCAATCGCGTTCATCTGTAAGTGTTTCAATATGGAAGGGTTACGCCCCTTTGTCCGCGATTGTTTTTGAAAAAGTCGGACCCATTGTGCGCGAGCACCAGTACCAAATTAGTTTGAATGATGTGTCAGAACGGAGTTAATGGATTCCAATTGGACATGGATATGCGCTCGACAGGGGCGTGCGTGGTAACTACTGAGGCCCAAAATATTTTCGCAATAATTATGCAAAATCCTCGCGATGAAATTCAACGATAGAAACAATCATATTACATAAAGTTACACAAACGCTACAGCACCCTGTAAAAAGAGCAAAAATCCAATATGTTTTTCTTACAGTTTTCTTAAATTTGAAAACATCGTCAGACAATAAAATGGAAAAACGAAAGCCTTACTCCATATTTTCACAAAAACAAATTCTAGATTAAAAAGTAAGTGATAACATGTGCCTTTCATTGATTGTCAAATGAATTTACATTAACATTTTTTATAATAAATAGCTGAAAATTACTGAAAGCACCTGCAATGTACTTTAATATTGACGAAGTGCTTCAGGTCTGGTGGGTTTATGCTAGATAATTTTTCAAAAACTCTTTATGAAGCAACTCTGCTTCATTGTTACTAACTTATTATTTTAACAAATACAACACTTACGTCGAATAGTCCGAAACTCCAGGTCCCAATCCCAATCCCAGGCTTTTTACCTGCGCGATATTTTCTACAGCCTGTATAGTTGTTAAAACTGAGCCACTGCTTGATCGAGAATTCAAAATGAATGATAAAAGATGATTTTTTTTATAAATTATATAAAGCAACTACTTTCACAACCAAATAGTAGATAAAATTCCTTTATTAAGTAAAATCGAATAGAAAAGAGTGCATTCAACAAACAGAATTCATTGCCTAACATCTACCAAAACTCAAGAATTTAACTAAGTTTGACCTGAATATTTTCTTAGTAACATATCCCACTCTCAAAGTATTTGCACCACATATCATGCGTTCCTGCACCTATAAAAATATATGGAGGAGTAAAAAAAGCAACACTTATTATTTCGTAAAATAAAAATGTAATAATTTCATTGTTTTATCATAAAACAGAACCTTTTTGATAATGGAGCGATAAACCTTGAAGAATTCTTGCAATTTCAAACCATGGTAATAGTTAAAGATTTAAGCCAACAAAACAAAATATTTACTTGTTACTTTTTTTGCACCCCAATGTTTTTTGTTAAAATATAAACAACATTTATTCACTCATATATGATAATATATTATATAAATATGTAAAACATAAATTAAATTCCTCGCTCCACTCCAACGGAATTTGCAAGGAACATGACCAAAGTTGGTAAAGTATTCGGAGTAGTAACTTGCGAAACCTATGAGAGTTTTTTTACAATTCTTTTAAATTTAATTAATTAAGCGTCGTAGCAATTTTTTAGTAACGAAAATGTTTAAGTCTATATACTAAATTTTCGTTTATAATAATTAATATCAACGCATATGGCGCGATTCTCTTGAGAAGCAAAAAATTGCCCCCTACACCAATGAACCGAGCCCTCCTTCATCCACCCGAGCCACAAAAACGCATACTTTTTCGACGACATTGGCCCCTTTATGTTAAGAAATCGGGCGGGGATAAAATACGAGATAAATTTCTCGGTAGCTTTAAAATGCAATTTCGTGGAAGCTCTTATTCTCAAAACCCCCAAAAAAACGTAAGCCGTTACGCCACAAAATAACATTCCGTTTTTGCCAGCCTCCCGAAATATTGCATTTATTGCAGTCATCATCTTTTAATCGATAAAATGATATGGCGCGTGCATCTCCGACACAATTTTGTAATCAAGAGAGTGAAAGAGCTAAAGAAAAATTGTACGTAATGATACCGTTAAAAACTCTTCCTCGAATAAAAGAGAAACATAACTTTCGGTATGAGTTATCATCGTCCGCTGTAACGCATGTCAAACATAAAACCCTTTTATTATTTAACGCTCCGGACCTGAGAGACCGTTCGCAGACACAGAAGGAAAGGCCTAATCTCACTTAAATTACCGTAATAATTCTGTTTTTCTCGTATAATCGTTCTACTGCCCCATAAATATAAATTAACTCTGGAATAAACCCGAGAACTCTTGTAATGACAATAATCTTGCTGATCTTGATTTAAGAGCGACTT